ACTTTCCGCCACGCCGTCGCAGCCTCGGAAACGCGCAAATTTTGCATTGAAGTTTTCGTCGCGTGACGCGCTTTGAAAGTCGAAGCCGCGATATACCGGGTGTTCCACTATAATGCAAGCTTTGTGTAAAATAACGAGGATAACAACACAGCAGATTATTTACAAAATTATAGAAGGCGAAAAGTAAAATATCCGTTTTTTGAGATTATTTTTTAATCATTCGGAGAAAATTTATCAGTGAAGATGATGTGTATTATATTATTAATGATATACATCAAACTAAAATAATTAATCAAAACATTTAACTGGCACATATAATTCACACGAATTTTTGTAAAAAAATAAGTTAAAATTCAAAATAATGATAGAGCGGCGGAACACCCTGTAGACGCGGTTTCTTGTTCGCCTATTAACCACCAGTAATGACGCGGCGGCATCTTTCCGTACGATCGGCGCTGAGAGGATTCTCGAAAATTACTTTGCGAGCGCGGTATGCGTCGTAGGTAGGTACATACATACGTCGGCAACCGGCGTTTAAAGACGAGATCGGGGTCTCCTCCCGCGGGACGTGATACACCGCAAAAAGGCACGTACAAAGAGGTACGTGCGTGATGATGACACGAACGTTCGGCGCATTGTCGTGGGTAACGAGACGAATTCGCAGTTTTTATTCCTTAAAATATATGCCCCATGCAGTTCGAAAGAAATTTTCAAAGTATATCATATTGAATTTTCAAAATATTTCGATTTATAAAATTTATCAGCATTTTTATTTGATATTATTTCATATACATATACATATAATTTTTGTTATTCAATCCCCTTTTTTTCTCACGCGCATGTTCACGCTTAAAACACCATTACGCACATCGGCCCCGCTTGATAATCTTAATCGTCTCGTCCTCTTTAATGACTCGCGAGCGCGCCGGATGTCTCGTTCGCACTTCGCGTATCGCGCACGACACGGCATGCGTTCCCATGCGTGGCGGACCGTCATCTCTCGGGACGCGTCTCTCTCCGAGGATTTATTCGCACGCGGCGGGCGATGCGCTCCGCTCCGGCATCGGGGGCTACCGAGCCGAAGCAGAACGGCCGAGCATGCGAGGCGAATTTATCACGCGGTGTACCGCTCGCTGCGCCGCTACACTGTGCACAGCCTGACATCGTAAATCGGTCTGGGAAGTGGTCCAAGCGTTTGGCCGAGCCGTGTCAGCGAAATCGTATAACTTCGACGGACCGACCGCGTTTGTCGGAAAGCCCCCGGTCCCAGTGGCGTCGAGACTTTCAACGCCATTGCTGGGAATTTCATCGGTGTGAAATAGATCGGCCGATTTTCACGAATCATTCAATTCAATGTGACAATTTCAGATTCAGAGCTTTGCCTAAAAAATTTTATTTTTCTATGTCTACGTTATATTTTACACTCTACACTTAGTTGCAGGAAAATAATTTTAAAGACGTTAATAATTGTTTAATTAAAATCTAGCATTTTTCACGTAATTACAATCATCAAGATTGAATAGATAATATAGACTCTCACTATTCACTTAAGATAAATTCTAGCAAAATTTCAAAAAGATATAACTTAAGGAGTTAAAAGGAGAGAATAATGGGATTCTAAATTAAACTTGTACAGTGCGCAAAATCCAAAAACGCCACGCCTTTGCAAAGCAACAAATCCATCGTAAAGCAGAGAGCTCGACAAGAATGTCGGTCGGTAAAGCGTCGATATCAAAGACCCAGAAGTCGTTCTAAACTCGCGTCCGGTATGGTCCGCCTCGCGGATTTCAAAGACCCGCGCGAGACGGAATATCGTCCGGCGATCCGCTCGTAAAATGACGACGCCGCGCCGCCGCGAATCGTCGGGCAGACCGATGACGAGAGGCGAATGCAGGCAGGACAGGGGGAGGAGATGCAGGAGACGTAGGTGGCGAGATGTTGTCGAGGGAGCGAGGATGCTGACGGCGATGCTGATGGTGGCGATGGTGGCGGGCCAGATGTTTGGTTAATGATGTCAGCGGAATCGTAACTAAAACCGAGGCGGCCCCGGGCTTAGCATCGGCTTAGCCTCAGCTTTGAAGGAAAGAGTCTTATTACCCGGGGTCTGCACGTGCTGCTCGTGAGCGCGAAACCGTAGGGTAATTGGACCACCCACTCGACACACCAAGAGTGCCACTCTCTCCTCTCGCCGCCTTCCTTTCTCCTCTTTTCTTTTCTTCTTTTTCCCTCCTGTTTCCTTTTTTTCTTCCCAGCCCTCCGAAGATGCGAAAACGGCGACGAGCTTTCGACGAGCAGATAAACTGAAAGTCGCGCGACAACTTCCAGTCCGATCGGTCGCCCCAATGCAACTTCGTTCTCGCGACGTGGAAAAGGATGCTGACGCGTATCTTCCAGCTTATCGAGAATACTGGTTCATCGTGAAAGCATAACGATAAATCCGATTAAAACGTATATGACAGGAACGAGTATGACGGCTACCTCGTACTACATTATACATTACAAATGTTGTTACAAGTCGTTGCTTTTCTCTGAAACGGAATTTTTCGTGTTGAAAATGCAAAGATGGATTAATTTTCCAACTATCATTTCTGTCTCCTTACATTGCTAACGACTTTATTTCGTATCATATTTTTATTTCACGTTATTAATTAATTCATATTCTAATTTACGATATTGAGTTAAATCTCAAAGTGGAGCGATGTACCTAGCGGGATAATTTTTCTTCTAATTACCTATTATGGAAATGCGACCCCTCGTTTGCTTTCGAGTTACGGAACAGTGCAGATTAATTGGACCACCTACGGGTTACTGCAGTTGCGACAAGCGGCTCCCTTTTCCAAATAAATACGCGCGTGTTGTGCCTCGTCTTGGGTAGCGGGAACCTTACGAGAGACATCGGTACCCCAAGTCGAAGCAGTAGGAGTGTGTCATTCGGGCGAGCCGCATCACATCTCGTCCGTGACACTCGACCCGGAAGACAAGGCTGATTTATGCCTGCTGGCTCGCCGCGCCGGACGGAAATTGGATGGGTCCGCGTCGAGGGATATCATTGCGTTTGTTTGACATTTTTATGTGGTACCGTCGATGTTCTCCGTCGTTTGAGCGCTAGCGCGTCTGAGAAGTCGCTAATTAACGCGTCGTCTAATCACCCAATTACCATATCCGAACTTGCTTTCGGCCAACTAACACCTTTGACATCTGGAAAGTTTATCAAAATAAAAAAAAGATCGCGCCTTCGTATAACACTCGTCGCAGATATAATTAGGTAATCCTTTAAGAACGTGTAAGCATAATAAATTTATTTAATTTTTCTATAATGAACTGTTTCACTTTTTACGTGAGTGACTTATTTATTTTTTATATATTTTAAAAGAATCTTTATATATAATAAAATACATATCTCATTTAAACAAAAAATTTACTTAGGACAACTCACTTTTTTTTGTTTCTAAAAAACTTATGTTTTAAGTTATATAATAAATAATATATACATTGTACGCGGAAAGTAATAAGAAAGGTGGAAAAATATGAGAAATAAAATTTCGCAGACCTTTATTCAGGTTGTCATCGTTTTTATTTGAAATTCTTTGCTGCGTCTTTTTCGAGTCTTGCGAATGTTATTTCTGGTTTTGCACTTAAACACGTGAAAAATCTCGATTCGACGATTCTTTGTATTTAGAAATTTTGCAAACAGGTATCTCCATCCTGTGCAACTAAATTCTTAAATGTTGTGGGAAACGAAGGGTATATACGAGAAGGGCATTGCTGAAAATGAAGCCACCTGTGTATCATCGTGGGTGGGCCAAACGTCCACGCGCAAAACATCCGACTTATGACGCAAAGCCGACTCAGGATAGCTTTCCTAGGGTTGGGACGAGAGCGGAACGAAAAAGGAAAACAGTCCGACCACTTAAGGGGCTATACTACAAATGTGATGATGTAGGCCTAAACGCATAGATAGGCAAACTTTGTGGAATTCTTTCCTTCATCGATCATGGTTCGACACTTCTTCGAGCATCCATACAGCGTGAACAAAGCTTTTTACCCTCACAGTGAGAGAATCTTAACGTGACAAAATATGTTTCGGTAGAACTTGGTTCAATATAAAAAGATACAAAGAATTGTAGAAAGAAAGAAAATTAATACGGCACAATAAAAATAAAACTATACTAAAAAAAAAACATTATACGAAACGGCTACCGACAACCTTTTTTAAGATTTAGTTTTTTTAAAGCATATAATAACGGTGATATAGCTTTTGTAAGATTTCGCTGCTATTGGGATTAAGGGAAAACTCGTGGGAAAATTTTTCTCTTGTAAAATCGTGTGTAAACGCGCGCATTAGTGTAATTACAAATTGGTGTTTTTATTGGACTCAGTAAGTACGGTTCTTTTGATCGCCGATAAATAGAAAGATCGTTCAATTTGCCGTGCAATGAAGACACTTTATCGAAGGATTAATTGTCGTACAATGTTCTTATCAAGCGATATCGCGATCGCTTCTTTCATCCCGATTTAAAATGATATCTGACTCGGTTCGGGCGATGAATCAACCCTCGCAGCTCGACTTTCCACTATTATTTTTCACAAAAAATTTCATTGCATCCCCCGTCGCTTTCTCGCAACAGCGAGGATTCACCCGTGCATCAGCGTTCCCCTATCTCTTTCCTCCAATTCTCCCGATTTCCCCGCCTCGCCTTTCCCCGTCCTGATGGTAGTAGGTACGTCGCTTCGCCGCCTTCTTCTAATTTTACGAGCCGTTGACTCCCGATCGATGGAACGAACCGTTTCGAAACAGCCGGCCGTTTTCCGCCACGCGCCGTTGACCGTACGGTGACGTAATTTTCCCGAAGCGAGGCTGAGCGCCGGGTAATAAGATCGGTTAATGTGCGAGAGATCGTCCCGATGTTTAATGCGAATCCGAGGACGACCGGATATCCGATTGTCGATCTTTCGTTCGCCAAGTTACTAACCGACCGTCGCTTTTCCGCCTGTTACAGATCACAAAACTCAAGATCGACAGTAATCCGTTCGCCAAGGGCTTTCGAGATTCTTCTCGGCTTACCGACTTTGAGAGGTGAGTTGCTTAACGATAAACTTTGACATTACGCACGTCAGGAGTTTAACTCTGCGCTCGATCGTGAAATAAAATTCAAATTTAAAATTGCGTATACAGAATCGATATCGATCCAACATCAATTTTTCTTTTATAACGGATTCTGTGCTGTTTTAGAAATTAGGTTCATATATTTTTCCTCCATTTCTTTTCTGTGTTGAAATATTATACTTTCTAAAGTTTAACATGGTCTCTGTCGGGCTGTCAGTTAAGTTAAACGATTTAAAGAAAGATCATTAATTTTAGGAACACAAAAGCTTACATGGCTGGGAAAAAAAATATTAAAAATGACAGCGTGAAACACAATTAAATTTATCAATGAATAACAGTTTATCAATGAAGAGCCGAAAACTACGAAACGAATTCTTCGAAGAATTTCTCGAGTTCATAGCTAGAAAACGGTATGCATAATGGAGCAGTTTTCCTTTTAGGGAAACGATGGAATCCATGTTGGCGGAGCAGCAGTCATTGAGGTTTCCGCATCGATTGCCTTTCGAAATGGAGCAACTCCAGGCGGGCGCGGTGAGCAATCTTAGTCTGGAGGAGAAGGCTTTATGGGCCGCGCGTTCTCAGATGTTGTTAAGGGCGGCGGCGGCCGTAGCTGTCAGTCCCTATGCTCAATTGGTTAGTCCGGCTTTAGTCTACCCAGGCGCGCCGACAGCCGGCACCAGTCACCAACAACAGCAGCAACAACAGCAGCAGCATCAGCAGCAACAACAACAGCAACAGCTGGGCCACCTATGGTGGGCCTCGTCGATCGGTCCAACTCTGTTCGCGGCGGCGCATCATCAGCAGCAACTAGCCGCCACTAGCTCGCAACAAAATCCCACGTGTCCCGCGGCTCCGCGACCTCTTTACCCGTCACCGCTCGCCCTGGCTCATCACCGATTCTCACCCTACCACACGACGACCGCCCCCAAGTCCTCGACACCGGCCGTGCCGTCGCCGTCGCCGTCCAGAAGGGCTACCCCGTCGCCTACGGATAGTCTCAGCAGGGAGGCTCAGGATCTGTCGCCCTCGTAGTCGCCGGTTCTCTTGTAGTCTCGAGACGTTAGAAACGTATCGGTCGTGAATTTTTCCAATAGAGAAAAGTTTCAGACTTTGTAAGGCTGCGCGCAAAAGGAGTCGAATTCTCGAACGTGAAAGATTTCAATAAATTGGACCACGAATTTAGCAGTGTTTTTTTTCTTTTTTTTTCTTATGGAAAAAACGTGCAATTCGCGTGAGAAGTCACGCGACGAAAGCGTGATTGATTCGTATAGCTTTGCAATATTCTTCTTCCACGGAGAAATGAAGAAATTTTACGCGCGACGAGAGTCGATTTCCCTCGTTCACTTGTTTAATTTAAATTATCTCTTTTTAGATTTCTAAAATATACACCAATTCTATAAAATTGGTTACAGCATTCTTTTCAGAAGAATGCAGAAGTGCAATACTTATTAAATTAATATTAATAATTTATTAATAATTATTTAACTTATCCTTATTGTATTTTAAGGAGCCGGTCTCCGTTTCGTTCGGTGAACACGTAATGGCTGCACGAAAAGGCATTCATATTGTAAAGGGAGACAAATTGTTGTAAAATGTTTGCGCAACGGAGATCGATTTTCGTCGCGCGTGTCACGCATCGCACAGTGTCGGAAGGAGTATGTCGAAGCCGGTATTGACGATACTCGCGGAACCCGCGGCGTGAATAGCGACGATAATTGTGGTGTCAAAGGTTCTCGAGCCGCACTCGCCGTCTTTCTCTCGCGCCGAAACGCGAAAGAAACGTAAAGCTCACGCTCTCCCCGGCTGAACTCTCGACCTTTGGCGAGCATGGTGGCAAAGCGCGGAGGACTCCAGCCGTCTCACGTGACTCGACGATTCCCGTTGTCTCCCGACCGGACCTCTTGGAACCCGGAGGAGGGCCCGACCTGTGTATATCCTTGCTTCGATCAGCGATCGGAAGCGATAGGGTCGCCGCGATCCTGGTAGTCAAGATACACCTATGCATACACTTTGAAAAGGAAACGATATCATTACGAAAAATCTGTTACACTTGTGGAGGACAAAAATAAGGTACCATGTTGTTTTTTTCAATTCAATTTTTTTATTCTTATTTTTTATTATTTCTTAATTGAAATACATTTTTTCTTATATCGATTCTTGTGGCAATTTTTAAATGAATGAAAAAATCAGGAAAGGATACATTTCAATTGTATAAGTTCATATATATATTTTTGTAGGTATTTTTAGTGAAATAATTTTCGTTACATAAATATATCTGATTTGTCCGAATTAGATTATGTTGAAAATTTAGATTGTCCGAAATCGTTTCTTTTCAGTAGTTTTTGTTTCGTATTTTTTTTTATACGCAAGTAACATCGCGCGTTGTTTAAAAATGGTGCGAATTGCTGCACGCGTGAAAAATACGTGAATGTTGTAAATATGTAACCATCTAGATTCTCAAGGCGGCATAATTGCCGTACATGGTACACGTATATATACAATCTTTAAGGGCAACTAAGTTGTACGGCGATTAAAGTTTACTGTATATAGGTATACATATATCTACTTGCGACGTAAGGTAACTACGCCTCTATTTCTTGTAACATAAGCTGTATATTTCGTATCACGACCTATTGTTATCGTTATTTATGTTTCGATTTCCGTATTTCCGGCGCGGAGAAGCGCGCAAAGTGAACGTAAGAGCGAAGGATCTGCGATTCCGAAATAAAATCAGAATCTTTGGACGATTCGAGGATTTTAACTTTCGAGAATTCAAAACGATCCGACACTTTGCGCGATCTCGCGAGCACACCTTAAAGGGTTATTATCGCCGCGGCGACTAGTTAGTTAGCGTAGAGCGTTATATTGTTAATGCTTGTGTTGTGAAAAAAACGCATACACCCATTGCTGTGCAAGCTGCTCCCTTGTAAATAAACCCTAATAAACTCTTGTACTGAGCGTATCGTTCCGAATATTTCCTCTGTCCATCGTGCGTTTATTCCTCTTCATCCACGAAAATTATTTCACTCATTATATATAGAAATAGACGAATTTTCTTGAAAAAATTACATTTTTGACAACCTATGACAACAAATATCTATACATTATCATATATAAAATTGCTCGCTAAATAACAAGAACATTTTTTTATTATAGATTCATTTATCGTCGCAACGCAGAATTATTATTCTTCGAACAGAGAGCGTCTCTAGTACTTTCTCATACCTTCCTGGCGTAGATAAATCTGTATTTCCGAGGTAAGAAACCATTATTCCAAACGCAATGATTCCGGCGTGTACACGCTTAGGCAAATGTTGTTGGTTCTGTACGGTTAACCAGCTACAGGATGCCCCGTTTAAAGGCATCATCACGCGATCCTCAAGCCGACCGTGCGATTAGGGGATGAAGGAGTCACCGTCTGCGCTGGGAAAGCGAGACCGTCGAAGCGTCACGAGATCGCACTCTCGCAAACGCTCGTCGTTTCCGGCGATGGATATTTTTATTAGCACACGTTACGTATATTTATCGTGTTGTAAAACACTGAGAACTATACGTGTGTGCGTGCGAGAGAAAGTTCAATTAAAAATTAAATCTCTTTCCTTCAATAATATAATGTAAAATGTACACTTTTTTATGTCAAGCAGTTTTTTCAGGCGATTTTTACAAAATAATTCAATATTTTTATTAATACTTATATTTGTTTGACATTTTATTTATTGCATTTGCTCTGTCAAAAGTGCATAAACAAACTTTATTGCAGCGAAGAAATTAATTAAGTATGCTAAACTTTCATGTGCTTGGATGAGAATTGATCGCTTATTGAAATATTCGCTTTATTAATTTGTCGAGCGCGATGATTGTGTCGTAAAGCGAATTGGATGAATATATTTTCGTCGTTATGGTCGATTCGCATCAGACGGGCATTATTAGAATGAATAGACCGGCTGGTCTGCCGATCTATCCTTCGGCTGTAAATCACGCTATGAAAGAATCCGGTATTAGAGAGGGGAGTTTAACAGCGGCGAGTACATTACAAGACAAGGAAAGGGGGAAAAAAGCGGCGCAAAGGTAACATTGAAAATGTTCGCCGTTTTGATTAACATTTGGATTATGGCCTCTCCCGTCGTAAAGCATGCGATTGCGATCGCACCTTCGGGAGATTGACGGTGCATGGAATCTCCTTCGCTCATTAAAATGAAATTACCTGCATTACCTGCAAATAGCTTCGCGATTGAGAGTGTAATTTTCGAAAAAAACATCTCGGATGCCAGAAAGACGTTTAAGGACATCTTAATCTTGGAGATATCCTTTTCAAGACTTTCTCTTGATTCTTCTCGAAATATTTAATGTAATCGGATTATCACATTTTTTAAATTTTGTTTTGCGTCTATTAAAAAATAATTGTTGCGACTTTAAATCGAGGAAAATTCAAACGCTTCTTCACTTTTTCAACGTGGTTTCTCTAGAACTGTATATAATTCCGCGCGTGCAAGAGAACGGCGCGTTATCCTGGACAGGAGGCGGACGGTTTCATCAGGCCTGGCCAAGTCCCGCAGGACACACTGCGAGAAACCACCGTCGGAGAACTGGTGGTGTTTTAATGCGGAATGAAGGCATTATAAACCCATTAGCCAGTGGGCCGAGCCCATTCGCTTTTGCGTGCGAATGTGCGCCGCCGCTCTTTATTTAAATACACAAAACATTAACGGCTTGGCTCGTCCTGCAGCCCCTATCCTTGGCACCGATGTTGTCGTTATCCTGCTGCCGGAATTTTTTTTTATAGACAGCGGTCGGTCCTTTCCCTGCAAATCTCCATGTCTGTTAACTTAACGATTTCGAGACATTTTTCAATTTACATATTTCTCAGTCTACAGGGTGTATGGATACGTTGATTTTTTTCTGACATGCATATAATAGATATATTTTTGCAGACTGCTTAAAAATTTATTCTTTTGAAAACGTTTTCAGAGTTTAATAATTATGATTATATAATTCGTATTTTACAAAATTTTATATACCGTGCTCATTAAAGTAATAGACAGCCTTAGCTAATCCCTTTAGTTAAAATGTACAACGTATAGTTTTGTTTTTAGTTTCGCTATTTTTCGTATTTTCTGCACTTCCTTGATGCCTCGATGCACTCATCTTACTTCCTTGTCTTATTATGTTAATTTGTGCTTTACAATCTAATTCCTTGTTTGTAAAATGCCTCGAGGAGGATTTGTAAAATATTCTTGCTTTTCTTCTCTCTCAATTTTGTTCGTTTCTCTTCCTCCCTCTTTTCCTCTCTCTTTGTCTCCGTATGCCCTTTTCCTCCAAGGGATACTCCGTCAGCCTTAATAACAACTTGCTTAACCGACTCACGGCACCGCTCATCCAGCGTGTCTGTTAAATCGTTAATTACCCCCGCGAGAAGGTGAGATCAGAGAAACAACGAGCGGAGGGACGAGTGAGTAAAAAGAGCCAGAGCTAAGAGAACAAATGCAGAAAAAGAAAGAGCCAGTTGGCGAACGAAGGGAAGCAACGTCGAGAATCCAGGACGAAAAACGGCGACGATCGAGTCGTTTCGTCGTGCCTTTTTTTCTTGTCTTCCCTCTGGCCCATCCTCTTTTCCCTTGCCCTTCTTGTACTTTCTGGAAGCTGCACCACTGGTGAAACGCCCACTTCCTGGCTGATGCACGGCCACTTTATTCCGCGTTTGAGAGCGAAAGGGTCACAAAAAGATACGGCGAAGAAAAGGAGAAAGGGAGAAGAAATAAGTAGTCGTTTTGCCTAATCTCTTCGGTAATGTCCCGCCGAGAATTAACGAGCCAGGACAAGAGAAAAAGGAAGGGATGAGGGAAGGGGAAAAGGGTTGCTAGCACCTAGACTCGGCATTAATTATGTTGGTTGCCACAGGTGCCAACAATCTAATTGTCGGATCTCGATCGAATCGCAATCATCCGTATATCGATTATGTCGGTGTCTCAAACGCGAATGGGGTATCTTTTTCCTGCCTTCGTCGAAATTTGTTATTCTCCTCAACCCTCTCATAAACTTATGAAGATAATCAATTTTGTACTACGTTAAAGATATCAGTTCTCGTGCAGTCAAGCAACGTTATTCGGATGGGGCTGAAATTGACCCTTGTTTTTTTTTTCAATGACCATATCCCGTGATTAATATATACGAGTGCATTATTAAATTAATTAATACATTAAACAAATGAATGTTATTTACAGTAAATAATATTCTATTGAATATCTTATTTTTATCAACATTTATTTACTATTAGATTAAAAATTTCCGAATGGTGATGAAATAGAAAATGGGAAACCTTTCCATAAAGAAGCTTTCTTTTAGAAAGTCTGTGCTTGGAAACATAAATAAATTTTTTTTTTTCAAAAGAACACCTGGTAATTGCGCCCCGGGGAGAGGGAAGGGGGTAGAAAACAGCAATCGTGAAAGAAAATGGCGGTCCGACGATGCCACCAGTATCGATTTGGCACTCGACGGCACCCATCGTCGTACACACACACACACACACACACGTGTACGCGTGTGTTCACCCCCGCAATCGCGTAGGTGCGAACCGCAGGGCACGAGGGCGCCGTTTCGCGTGCGCACGTGGACGGGATCGAGAAGGGATGATGGCGGGCGAGATGGCACCCGGTCGGCCGGTTATTAACCAGCGCGCGTTTGCGCTCCGCATTTGCGCGCTCCCTTAAGCACGTATTAATTGATCGAATTAATTTGCCGATTCGCGGCGTGCCGTGAGCCTCCGCGGGGAGTCCCCAAATTTGACAGGCCAAGGCCGGACAAGTCGTCGACCGCGGGAGAAATAACGCGCGGCGTCCTCGCGAAAAAATTTACGCACTCGCGGTATTGAATAATAAATCGATAGATGCGAGACTCTGATTTTTAGAGAAAAAAATGTTGTAAAAAGTGACGGTTGTTTTTAATCGGCTTTCACATTAACAGTAGGATAAAATAGGCGTGCGATAATGTTATCGCTTTCGCTCAAGTGTCATTCATGCGAGAACGATGTGAGTTTATTACTTCATAATGGATTAATAGATTAAATAATTAAATTAGTAAATTAATAGGTAATACATTACACATATATAGGACGATTGGAACTAATTACCCGGT